TGTTCAGCTGTAACTAAAGCGAAATCATTTGGAGTAACACTTTCGGATACCAGTGTTTCTTGAAAATTTGGTTTTCGACGACCTTTTGCTCTACTGGTAGATGGTTTGTAGCCTCTATATGTTCCCACTTCTTGATGTTTCGAATAACAATCCCTTGCTATATGTCCCGGTCGTCTACAGGCGTAGCAAATTTTCCAAGGTAAACTCTTCTTCTGAGTAGCATATGCGGATTCCAAATTTCTATGTCCTCGGGATTTCTGTAGTAAATCTTTTTCTTCTTCCCTTAAGACTTCAAGTATTTCTTCTATCGACTTTTATCGTTGCGTTTTTAAAACTTGTTTTATGCGCTCATATTTTCCAGCTAGACCTCTGACCGTGTAGAACACTAATTCTCTGTCAGATATTTTCAATACCAAGGAGGCACACTTAGTCGATAATCCTTTAGCTCGAGCTATATAATCGTTTACGGCTTCTGAATCCAGCATTTCTAAGCTCTTCGGCACCCGCATCAATCTTTCTATCTTCCTCAAGCCCAGTGTAGGTAGTTTTAATTCTTGTCCACGAAGCTTTTGCATTCTTTTCTTCTGCATATTGCAAAGCTTGTTCGTCTGATAGAGACAACTTCAAGTATGATACGGCATCTTGGTTAGTAATTTCCCAAACTTGCAATTTACCAGGGTCAGTTGGAACTTCCTCTGTCAATGCCGACATTAGTTTCTTCAGATTCAAAACCGCTTCCATTTTCATGGCCCAAAGATGATAATTAGTTCCAGTCAACTTCGGAATTCCAAAAACTAAGTCGTTTTCCATGATGATCGTAAACCACACTCTGCTACCACTGTTGTTTGGTTGAATAACACAGAGGCTAATGACGGCAAATAAAGTATTTATTAAAACATAATATGAGGAAACAATAGTTCACACACACAGTGCTACACATCTGAATCAACCAACAACTAGTCAGCTTCTTCAACAAATATATATATATTTCCCCTATCGGGAAGTCGTTGTATTACATCACGCAACTCGCGCAACTTATTTGAGAAGGACAGGAAAAATGAGATTTTATTTGCATATTAACAACAGATTTGATACGAAATTATTCGTGGATATAATTACATTTATTCGATATTTTAACCCTACACTGATGTTTCTGGCCGGTATACATTTGCCCGGTATACCCAACCCGGATGTTTTTTTAAGGTTAAGTGCCACTGTCCGGTATACCTTACACTGATGTTTTTATAAGATTAAGTGCCACTGCGCGGTATACATTTGCCCGGTATACCCTACACTGATGATTTTTTAAGGTCAAGTGCCATTGCCCGGTACATATTTGCCCGATATTCCAAACACTGGTGTTTATTCTAATCTATCGTCAGTAAGTATTCAAATATAGAATAAATATAATTATATATATATAATAATATTAACGAATAAATTAATATAAAATTGGATACATCGAACATACTACATATACTTCGAACATTCACCAAAGCGACAATGTGATTGTTAACATTCACCGGTGAATGTTGACATTCTCCAGATTTCGGTGTTTCACCGTAGCATATATATATATATATATATAAAAATTCAAAATGAAGATAAAACAAAATAAAATTATAGACATATGAGAATGGGGGGGGGTAATAATAATTAGAAAAATAGCAAACAACTGATTTAAAAAAAAAGAAAAAAAAGGCTGAAATTTTGTTAAATAACCGGAAAATAAAAGATATAATCTTTTCATCAGCCCACACGATTATATCCGAAAGACAGAGTGTTTTCTGATATTGTATCAATAAAGCCGAAGCAAAATATATTAATACAATAGTGTGAGGAGCACTCAAAAATTTTTTTATAAAAATAACAACAAATAAAATAGATCACAAAAAGTAAAAATAAGTAACATGTAAAAACAGAAAATAAGATAAAAGAAAAAGAAAAAAACATTAAAAAGGGGACTATAAAGCGAGTAGCAAAATCAGATCAACTTACA